TCGAACCGACATATATACATCTTTCATTTGAATCGGTATTAAAAGCTCTATTGGCTCCTACATTCGGATTTTGATATGCGAGTCTCCCCTGAACCGTTTTTTCTACATTTTTGGCCTATGTGCGCTTTTATTCGAAGCCTAAATGTTTCGGCAACGAGTATCGAGAGTATTGGATAGTTAAAAGTATTGACTCAGCACATCACTACTGCTGTCATCTCGACTGTGGCGTCAGCAACACAGCTGATTTTGTCAAATTCACTGAGAGCCGATTAGCGGTATTGCCATCGGCGCCACCTTCTGTATTCTCTCCACCGTGGTTAGCCCTGTTTGCGTACGCACTATCCAGTAAATCCAGTACTAATTTTACTGGGTTTTTGCTGGATGTCGTTTTCGTACGCAAAAACTTGCAAGAAACTAGCAAAAGAGGGGAAATTGAGAGAGCCAAAATGACACCTGAACTAGCAAGTTTTACTGGATTTCTACTGGATAAATTTTTACTAGCAACTATTTGCTGGTAAGAAAAACAGCTGATGGCATGATGCTTAATGTAATTCACATTAACAAAATAATTGTTTGTGGTGCTTTTTGAGTTGCAATTGACAAAATAAACCCATTTAAATATATAACAAGATGGAAAATACTAGTTCTCTAAGAAAATTGCATCGGAAAATAACAAATAAATCAGCTGTTCATAAAACTAGCAACTTCTTGCTGGTTTTGCGTTTTCGTACTTTCTTGCGTATTTCACTCATTGGGAGTAAATATTGACTTACTCTCCGAAATTTGGTTACTGGCAAGTTACTGGATATGTTTTGCTGGGGAATACGAAAACACAGCTTTTATCTTCATTGTCATGACAGTATTGTCCGGTGTAAACCCTAAGTAAACGCAACTATTACTACGTTTATACGCACGTATTATTTGCAAATAACAATTTGCAAAATGGTAAACTTTGCCGCATAAACGTTGAGTTTTTTTTTATTTGCAAATAACTAAGGCTATCTGCACACTTGTCGTCCCATCACATTTGCGTTATCGTCTCGTCCTGAAATTTTGAGCTGAGCACATGCATTTCGAAGGAGATCTGTAGCTCGTTTCTGTAACAATTCTCTACCAAGGCGAATTGAGATATGAATTCGCCGCCCTGTTCTCTACTGCTAATGAGTAGTAGAGAATGACGTATATTCTCTACCAGTAGAGAAATAATCGGTAGAGAAGAGTTACAGAAACGAGCTACTGCACACTTGTCGTTATCGGCTAGTTATCGGCAAATCGTGGAAGATGCAGAAACGGATAAGTACGGCACTGTCGTTTGCTAATCCATGAACCAAAAAGACAAGATCACGCGGGCAGGAGAGTATCCCGTTAGAATCGCATTAAGGAAAAAAGTTGAACGATTTTGACATTAGCCGTTTGTTTACATTTCTTCGTTGTTTACAATTTGGTGGTGGCTCTTTACTGCAACTTTCTTCGTTTTTGCTTGTGACAATGTATACACAAGTAAGGTAAAGAATAATTTAACACAACGACATGATTTATAGAAGAATTTGCGTAATAAAAATGATTTTTCATGCGTTCAACAATTTCGCGGTTTTCTCCGTTCTCTTCGTTGTTTACTTCTTACAACAAAGATGGCGTCGAGATTTCGGCAGCTAGAAAATAACTTTTTTCGTTCTTTCCTTCCCGCGTGATCTTGTGTCTTTCGTTCATGTTGCTAATCGATGTGCACGCATTGTTTGTTTGCATGTTATGGGGAAAAATTAGTGAAAAAGTTAATATTTGCATTAAAATTGCATAAAAATTAGTATTTTTTGTATAAAATCTGTGGGAATTGTTACAAAATGGATAATTGCATTAAAATTCAATAAATGTGAGTGTTTTAACTATAAAATATGACGAAATTGTAAACAGTCTCTGTGTGCATGCACAAAACACATTTCAGGAAAAGATATTACTAACAAATTACGTATAGAATTGTTGCAGCACAGTCTATATTCTAAAGCTTAGTATCCAGCTCTTAAGAAAACGGTCAAGAAAAAATTGCCATTATTTATCGTGTGTGTCCAAGGAATTTTGACATTTTTTATACCTCACAGCCTGTTGCCTCACTCTTTCCTCAAGAAATAATGGAACGGGCATATATTTCTGTTGCAAACCTGGGTTGCCTTGTGCTCTTTTTTCACAAAAAACTTTAGAAAACCGTAGTAGAAAGCGTACTAAATTTCTGAAGAACTGCGTACTGCCTTAAGGAAATTTGACTCAAGAAAATTTCTTAGCCATTTCTTGTACGTCATTTTATATGGAGTTTTTGCTTTTCTTAAGAGCTGGATACTAAGCTTAAAAATTTCAGGTTTTTATAAATATTTCGTGAAAATATCAACCAGAAAAACTAAAAATACCTGCTCCAAGTGAATTTTTAGACGCCAAATGAATTGAAATATCACGACCGAATGTGCGAAAGTGTAGTCGTCATGTAATCATTGCATCATGATTGTGACGATGAAGCAACCAAGATTGGACGACCAATGTGCAGAAAGCTAAGTCACACAAATAAATATTGATTAGTAGTACTATTTGCAAATAAGCGCAAGACTTTGCCATTCTTAAGTTTATTTTCTTTTTAGATGGCCATCTTATTGCCTTTTTATAATCAAAACGTTGCCATTTCTAGCTTTCTATTCTTTTTCGAGGGCCATATTATTTCTTTTTTATATTCAAGCAATATTGAAAAAGAATTTTACACCGTCGAATAAACAGTGAGTCAGGTATTTGCAAATTATTTTTATTTGCGAATAGCTGACGTATAAAAGTAGTATATTACTACGTTTATACGCACGCATTATTTGCAAATAATGGTAAACTTTGCCATATAAACACTGAGTTAGTTTTTTATTTGCAAATAACTAAATCGCGCAAATAAGTATGTATTAGTGGTACTGTTCGCAAATAAGCGCAAGACGCTGCCATTCTTAGGTTAATTTTCTTTTTCGATGGTCATCTTATTGCCTTTTTATAATCAAGACGTTGCCATTTTTAACTTTATTTTCCTTTTCGATGGCCATTTTATTGCCTTTTTATAATCAGGCAATATTAAAAAAGAATTTTTCACCATCGAATAAACAGTGAGTTAGGTATTTGCAAATTATTTTTATTTGCAAATAGCTTACGTATAAACGTAGTATATGATATAAACAATAGGGGTCTTCATCAAAAGTTATAAACTGCTGAAAAACTTGATAAAAGGGTAAATTTATCATTTTGATAAATGAACTGTCAAACTTTGTATGGAAATTTTTTTAACCAAAGTTTATCACTTTATCCGACAATAAAAACAACAACTTTATCAGACGATTTTGGTGTAGAAACGAATAAATTTTGGCGAATTCAACCCTGACAGTCTGCCAGGTGGTTGATTTTGCTGCTAAAAGCAAATTAGCACAATGGACGATGTAAGAATGAAACGTAACTAGCCAGATAAGTTAAATTATAAACAATATTGTGCAATTATTTACCAAGTAGCCTTCATGAAGGAATGCGGATAAACAGATAAATTTATGCAGTTTATCCCTATATAACTTTCGATGAAGACCCCTAATATGTATTCATGAATATGGGCCTGTGCCAATCGGTAACTTTTTTCTCCGTGGTGAGACGGGGTGGAAAAATTTGCTTGGTGTACAAATAAATTGAATTTTGCTGTGCCAAATGCAAAGTAAAATTTTGACAGTTGAAAAACCAAACAAACGCTCGTGCGAAAGCTCTATTTTTGTGTGTTGCTGAAATTCTTAAAATTTATATTTATTTTATAATGTGCAAGTAACGTAAGCTTTTTTTATGCTGTTTCAGCTTTCATTTTTATGTTCACTCCTTATTACCGCCAAGCAATATTATGTGTATACATGGTTATAAGCTGTGGTTCGTATTCACCACGAGAAGTGTCAAATTTTTACTATGATCCGTCAAAATTTTCTATTTTCTATCAATTGGCACAGGGCCTATGTATATTTCCTAGACTATCGATAGTGGCCAACAACCATTCGATAGTATCGATAGTACCATCGATAGTTTTACTGCTTAAAGCGAAGCGCACATTGGCGCGATTCTGTCGTTGCGAATCCGCAAGCCCAAAAATTACAACAATGCTACCCATACATTTTAATGCGCTAGCGCACACTTGCACGATTCCGTCGCTGCGAATTTTTCGAACATTCAATGTTCCTCTCTATTGACGGGTTCGAAACGCGGATTGCAGCGTTTTGAAGGCGTCAAAGAAGAAGAAGAAAGGTGTCACAGCAATAAAGGCAAAGAAAAAAAACGTGTAATGTACAAAAACTAATAAAAACGTTCGTAATAATAGTATTTTGTACGATTTGGGCACGCCGAGTGCGAAAATACACGAAATAAAGGGAAAATTGAGTGAATTATACATCGGAAATCGACGCGAAAAAATCGCTCAAGTGTGCGCACGTTTGCGGATTCGAAGTTAACAGCCGAATTCGCAACGTATTCACAACGATGGAATCGCGCTAATGTGCGCTTCGCTTTAGAAAGCGGCTACATCGATATTTCAAAATTATCGACGCGATAAAAATAAGTTACATCTTTATTATACGCATTAAATAATTTAATACTTGGACGATTTTAAAATTTTTTTGATTATTTACGTTACTATGATGGAAAAATATTACCTCTGAACTTGGGCTCACTGTTTAAATGATTGGGCTTCACACAAACTTTGTAGTAACAGATCTGTTGATTCCTTTTGCATTAAACTCCCAAAAATACAAAATTAAAATTAATGTATCCAAGGTGTGTTCTTACATTTCGAGTGGATAACCATTTGGGCTAAAACATGAAAAGGTATACGCGGTTGATTCGGGCAAACCAAATATTCATAAAAGAAATCATGAAAATTTTTATAACTACACTTTAAATGATTTCGCAAGCATTAAACGGGTATTAAATGACAAGTGGTTGTTTTTCCTTTTGTAATATTCTAGGTCTACTGAAGACGTTTCACCACCTAATTTCACAGAACGGAAAAGTGGCTTCTTTGAACGAAGTTCGCGCTTAGCTGCAGATAGCGAATCATATTTGCGTCGTTCAAATCACATTTCGATTGGAAATATTGGTGGTTATCAAACTACAAACAATTTGACATCGTCAAGTCCATCGTCGTCTATACAAGATTTAAGCTCTGTAGTCCCTGATGGCTCTGGTGATTCAGTTGTCAGTACTAGTAGCTCTATACAAAATCGTAATAGAACACGTGATCGTCTTTACAAAAATCGACCATATTCAACTGCACAGTTAAGCGAGAGGCAAGTAGAAAAGAAATGAAAAATTATCAGAATTATAGGAAATTATAACAATTTTACGTTGCAGAAGTTCAAACGGTGCCACCATCAGCAATTATAACCGCATTTTGCAGTCGTCATGGTACGACGCTCCTGCAACGAATTTGAACGGTCCTGGTGGCAGTGGCAATGCCGACGCCTTAACAGTAGGCAGCAGCAGCAACCACATATTTTACTCCACCCCAAACTCAATCACCACACCTGCCTCCTCCATAAATTCGGTAATTGCGGCAACGTTAACAACTCATCACCGGAGCAATTATTGCGGCACTCAGCCGGACGTAACTGCGACGACGCCTTCCACAGTAAAAACAACTTTAGCGCCTAGTAGTTACCGGATGAAAAACAATTCAAAATTAAACAAATTAAAGTCACCTCGTGTTGGCTCTGAATCGCCCAATAATACGTCAACAATATCTTTGACGACGACCACGGCAACGGAAACGACGGGAATGGGTGCACCACCAGCAGCATCGACCACGTCCTCGATTGCAAACAGTAGTAGCAGTAGCAGTTGTAGTACAATCAGTAGTAGTTATAGCAGTAGTTTAAGCAGTAGCAGCATAGCAGTACCGTCAGCACATGGGACTTTCATTTCTGCAACGTCATCAACGCAGTCACTTGTGGAAAGCCACACCAATGGCAAGGGCAGTGGAATTCTAAATGCCGCTGCTGTACTAGCCGAAACAACTGCGAAAGCTAGAAGCCAGCATTTTAGCTGTACATCTGGCAGCAATAAAAACACCACCTTCCCCGCTGGTCCCGGTCCTGCTCCTAGCAGTAGTTGCATCACCTCCCCACACACCTCGTCAGCAAAAGACCCGCGTCATCAACACACTTCGCGAGCTGACCATATGCATGGGCGAAGCACGACGTCGTCCAGCCGTTCGCACTCGCGGTCGCCCAGTAGCTATAGTTCCTCGCAGAGCTCTTCATCAAATGCTTCATCACATTCACATGCATCAAGTCCAGTTAGGGGCAGTGAGTCTATTCCGAGCAGATCTGCTGGCTTATTAGCGAACAGCTCGAGAAATGTACAATCGGCAGTTACGACTCCGCCACAAGGTATGAATTGTGGTAGTCAATAAATCTCTTAAGTTCATTCAGCACCATTTATTCTGATGGCTATTTTTATATATATATATATACTAAATATATGAGCGCTACATACATCCACACGTATATTTGATATGACCTAGTTTTAAGCAGATCATTTTGGCAAACATATATATTTCTGACAGAAGTTAATAATTTCTTCAAAATTTTGTGAACAAATATTTTAAAATATATTGCGAATTTGACGGAAAGACGATAAGGAACGCAGTCTTATTAATACAAAGTTAGGAAGGCATTCAGGATAGTTAAGTTCTCCGAATTTTTATTTGAAAGTGACGGACCACGCCTACTTATGTAATGTGTAGAAAAAAAACGGGTGTGTTAGATACATATGTATGTATGAAGTTTGCGGTATGGTATTCTTCAAAAATTAGAGCTCCTCTATTTTTTACTATAATAATATTGCAATAAATAATTATGATTGTGTTGGTTTTGTTTTTTTGAACAGGTACAAGTGGAATGGCGGGCAGTGGCAATGTCAGCAGTAACTCTAGCAGCAGCAGCAGTAGCAGTGGCAGTAGCTCAGTGGGTAACCCAGTAAACCCAGTTGTTCATTCCGAAGACAATCGCCCGCTTGCTATCTGCGTACGCAATTTACCCGCACGTTCCTCAGACACATCCCTGAAGGATGGTCTCTTTCATGAGTACAAAAAGCATGGTAAAGTCACTTGGGTAAAAGTGGTTGGACAGAACTCGGAGCGTTATGCGCTAGTTTGCTTCAAAAAGCCAGATGACGTGGAAAAAGCCCTCGAAGTGTCACAGGATAAACTCTTTTTCGGTTGCAAAATAGAAGTTGAACCTTACCAGGGTTATGATGTGGAAGACAACGAGTTCCGACCATATGAAGCCGAATTGGACGAGTATCATCCTAAATCGACGCGAACTCTCTTTATTGGTAATTTAGAGAAAGAGATAACGGCCAGCGAGTTGCGTGGCCACTTTGATTGTTTCGGTGATATCATCGAAATCGATATCAAGAAACAAGGTACACAAGCGTATGCCTTCTGTCAATATTCGGATATCATATCGGTGGTAAAAGCTATGCGAAAAATGGATGGCGAACATCTTGGCAGCAACCGAATTAAACTTGGTTTTGGAAAATCGATGCCAACAAATTGTGTTTGGATAGACGGAGTAACGGAGAAAATATCAGAGTCCTTGCTGCAGTCGCATTTTTCCCGATACGGCACTGTGACGAAAGTGATTTTGGACCGTACGCGGCATCTGGCGCTGGTGCTGTACGACCAAATACAGCATGCGCAGACCGCTGTAAAGGAGATGCGCGGCGCAACATTGCGTGGTCGAAGATTACAAGTGGATTTTGCTTCACGCGAATGCCAGGATGCGTTCTATGACAAGCTGGAGAAACAGAATGCAGGTGCGAAGCGACTTAAAAATAGAGTTTTTCATCCATACGAATAATTAAGCAAACTGTTTTGGATTTGTAGACAAAATTGAAAGATAAATCCTCCTATATGCGATGTTTTATTTCGAATGGAAGGGCTAATGATTGTCTGAATGTCCTATTTTTATAACTTTTGACAAGACAGTAACTAAATTGATTCGATTCGAAAGTACGCTTTAAACCAATAGTTCAAAAACGTTATAACAATTGGTTTCATACACATTGACAAGTGGGCGTGGCTCAACACACATAAGTAGTATTTCCTTAATATATCTTTTTTTTTTACCTAATTGACTATTTTTGGGATAAACATTTTTTATTTGGACAGAACTTACACAAAATTCGTTATGATTTGATAGTTTTAAGTGCTTGCTATGGTATATACTTAATCCTTATGATCAAATATTCTTAAAAACAGTGTGACTGAACCAATCCATCTACCATTTCATGAAAAAAATTTATATATGCATATATTTAGTAGTTAAAATATAACCAAATATTTTACTTTTTATTTTCAGGTAACCGATTTAATCGTTACGACGCGCTATCACAATCGCGATCACGCGCGTCGTCCTTTAGTCGCCATCAGAACTCGAACGATGGGTGTTCTCCTAGCAATACCCCAGGCAGTAGCAGCAGTTGCAGTGCGTCTAGCGTAACCGCCACAATTGGCGCGCCTGCGCTTTCATCGGCGATTGTCGCCGGCGTAAGCGCCGTAAGTATTTCGACATCGTCAAGCAGCTCGTTGGTGCCGCAGAACGCACCGATGTCGGGAAATTCGACGCCAGCTCGAAGTCGTGGATCCCGCAGTTCACGGCATACGCTAGACTACGACTACTTGGATACGCGCCGATTCCGTTCCTATGACGAATTTAGTCAAGGTTCGGCTGCCTCACACGACGAAGATGCGGCCTCGCAGAACGTATATTCGGCGGGCGGCAACACCAGTGGCTTGCGTTCGGACTCGCCACTCCTTTCGCGATTGGGCCCCATTGTAGGCGGCGCCAACGCAGCTAACCTAGCACCAAGTGCGAACGAACGGGTAAATGAAACGCTTGAAGTGACGGTGAACAGCAGCAGTGGTCGCCGTCGTTGTGATAAAAGTCCTGCGAAACAAAAAGGTAATCGAAATAAAGTTCCTTATCTTCCAATGGATGCTGTAGCGTCTTTCCTTTATCCATTTTCAGGTGATATAAGAATTCTACAAAAAGAACGTTCCCATCTTTTAGAGCAACTTGAAGAATGCCCGTCCAGTGGTGATGAAAGTATAGTGAGTCCGCGAAAGCGCATCAAAATCGATCATCATCATTCCATGAGCACTGGCAGTGGATTGGTATGTTGAAGATTTATTTGTTTATGATTTATTATTGAAAACATTTATTACAAACTCAAACTTATCTACCGTTTTTTCACAGTCTCAGTCGCACTTGTCGGAGACAAGACACAATGCTAGTGATCAAAATAGAAGTAACCTAAATTCCAACTGTGATGCTCCTGTATATGAGGCCTCGGCAACAGCCGTACAACATAAGAGTGAAGTGCGCCGCCTTTCAGACACCAACAATCATCCCAGTCTTAAGTACCATCAATCTCAGTATCACGCGCATTCGCATTCACACACACTGCAGCAAGCATGTCAGCAGCAACCGGTTCGCCGACCGTCCATTGATTTAACGGCGACGCTGGGGGCTGGTGGCTCAGGATCCGTTTCTACCCGCCAAGGCAGCGTTAGTAGTACTGGCTCTGGAAGTGATCACCACCATCCACCTACCCATTTGAGCACTTCTGGTAGCACTGGGCTTTCGAATTCGTTAGCCTGTAAGCGACGACGTGTCACAGGGACAGGTAATATTGGCAGCGGCAATGGCAATACGCTTTCCTCGTCTACATCCACAGCGCCATGTGGTGGCCTCTCTAACAACGCGGGAGGTAGTGGCACCGCTGGCAGTGACGACTATCATCAACACATTTCGCGAGGGCGGGGCCATCCATTACATTCCCATCACTCACTCGAAGCCAGCGGCGGTGAGAGCGCAGACGGCTCACGTCCAGGTACCCCACTCTGCGATGAAAGACCCGAAGTGTTGCCTAGCGATCCACGGCGCGTGCCACGTGACCGCCGACATGAGCCGATGGTGTTACCGCTGCCGAAATTCGGCATCCAGTTTTTTCATCAGTATCGCAAGACTGTGACGGGGCAGACGATTTCGAGCGCTTCAGGTCACTGTATTGGCAGCGGCTCAAGCTATCATCACAGCAGTAGCGGCATGCTCTCCTCGTTGTCAATGGCGGCGAATAACAGCGGCGTCGGCACGCACATATTGCCAAACACCAATTTGAGCAGCAGTAATCATTCTAGTCATAGTTCTGCGGCGATGACGGCAACAGCATCTTCAGGTTCCTCCCTTGTACCAGGGTTTCCCTTGCACAGTCCATCTACTCGATACTCCTCACACTGGCGTCCGCATCAACATCATCACCAACAACATAGCCACGGCCACAATCACCCAGCGCATGCACACTATAATCCAGCTGCAACTGGTACAGCTGGTGCGACAATGATAAGTCCGCTGCGACCACGATCGCTTAGTTCGAACTCTAGTGATTCTGATGTACCCGGCCAGTCTAGTGGTAGCCCTTCATTGGAAGAGCGCATACGTACACTTGATGAAATGTACGAACGGTGGTCTGGTGGTACTGGGGGAAAGATCGCTGGCGGTACTAGTGGTCCGAGCGCCAGTGCGAGTATTGTAAAACGTCATGACTTTGGTAGCCATAGCCAAACACTTTTTCGGCAAACGCATCGTGGCAGCGAACACCATGGTATTAGTGGGGGGCTGCATCACGCGATTGTCAACACAGGTTCCTCGTCGATATCGTCACGCTATAAGCTTCCTGATCTCGATGTCAACGAGATGCAACCCTCGGAAATTGTTAAATCAGTGTTAGCGAAGAAATCCATATTTGATGATGACTTACAGCGACTGAAGAAGAACCAGTGGTACGAGCCATCGACGGACGCCACACAACTGGCGAAGCACATAATTGGAGTTTGTACTTCGCCGGGTCTTCCCAATTTAGCCGCGACGAAGACGCCCGTAGTTGGAAGCAACTCTGCAAGCGCTTCAAATGTCTCACTATCGAAACAATCGGGTGCACTCTTGCAGCGATTGAGCAGTCTTTCACCGATGAATTCACCACAGGCATCAATATCACCATATAACAGTCCATCACCTTCGCCTTCGGTGAGTGGTGGTACTGTGGCAACACCGCTACTTCCGTGTGCAGCCAAATTAGCAACATCTAATGCAGCGATTGGAATTAGTGCCGGCCCAACTACAACAAGTTCCACCAGTGTTTCAAGCATTGCTTCTGCTTCAAGCTCGGCAGCAGCTATGAAAGGTTTACAATACCCGTTTCCCAGCCATCCGCCGTTGCCGAGCACTGCAGCGCCACCACCTACTGCTCAACCGGCTCTCCCGGCCGGACCTGCGCCCTCAGACCTGCCACAATCGAAACCAACGCAAGTAACTACATCTGAAACGAGCACCCTAACAACCAGTACTGCAAGAGTAAAGGCAAATTCTATTACTAAGAGCCTTAGTGTACCATGGGTGCCATTGAGTAGTAGTAATGTGGGTGAACGTGTTGCTGCGGGTACAGTCGACTGCCGTATACTGACCAAATCAGTCTCCGTGCCCGGTAGTACAAATGTTGGTACAGTTAAGCCCATGAATGCGCATACACCAGCCGCGGAGGGGACATCAATTGCTTTAAGCAGGAGCTCCTCCACGACCATAAGTGCGAAAATCGAAGAGGATACCACGAAACATTCGAAACAACAGTCTAGTTCCCCGTCCATTTTGAAGAAGAGCGAACGGGGCTCACACAAACACAATCATCGCAGTGAGAACGAAAAGCGCTCTTCGAGAGCAGAGCGTGCGTCTGAAAGGAGAAAAAACTCAACAAACTCACAACATTCAGTAGCTTCGACGCCGCGATTAGAGGAAGATTCAAGTGAATGTGAAGAAAAGGATGGTGAGAAAACGGAAAAGGAGCGGAAAGAGCGGGAAATTGAGAAAGAACGAGAGAAAGAGAAACAAAACAAGGAACGGGAAAAAGAAAAGGACCACCAGGAACGTGAGAAGCGCGAAAAAGAGGTGCGCAAACAAAAAGAAGAACGTGAAGCACGCGAGCGAAAGGAGTGTGAAGAACGTGAGCGCAGGGAGCGTGAAGAGCGTCAACGCAGTGAGCATGATGAGCGTGAGCGTGAACGTGCACTTGAACGTGAGCGTGAAGAACGTGAACGCAAAGAACAAGAGGAACGTGAGCAAAAAGAACATGAAGAAAAGCTTGAGGAGGAGCGCAAGGAGCGAGGAGAACGTGAGCGAAAAGAGCGCGAAGAATGGGAGCGAAAGGATCGCGAACGAGAGGAGCAGCTTCAGCGTGAGCGTAAGCTGAAAGAAGAACGTGAATGCGAGCGCCGTGAACGAGATCGCGAACGAGCACAAGAAGAAGTCGAACACATCGATAAGGAACGGTCTGAGCGGGATACGCATCGAGAGCACTCACGAAAAAAATCTGAATCGAGCAGCAAACACGATGTCGACCAAATACAAGCGCTCAAAAATAACCAATCTACAAGCGATTTCCTTCCGCAGAGCAATGACAGCGATCACCAGAATAATAAAGAGAATGCAGTGGATGAAAGAAAAAGTCCCATGGTCGTCGAAGCTTCTAATAAGCACCGGAGCAGAAAGTCTTCACGAAACTCGCCAACACGACAACCTAAACGACGTCTGAGCTCACAAGATAGTAACCACGGAAATCTTAGTGGTCACACAACAATAAGCGAGGATCCAGCTAAGCGTTTACGCATCGAGACACAGCACACAATAAATGCCTCATGTACGGCGACCAAAATAAACGATCGGCAGCCTACAAAGGAAACTTCTCATGTCCTCGACCCGGCGACAAAGCAGTCCAGCGGAAAACATCATCATCAACGATCGTCAAATCAGACCAATACTGGCAGCGTTAATTTACCTTTGGACGCAGCTGCATGTTCCGAGGAAAAAACCAAGTCCAAAGAACATTCAAATAAGCACAGAAGCAGCAAACATCACAGACATCAACAAATGCACCAACAGCAAGGCAACAACGCCACGAATGAAACCAACAAAGAAGGTCAGGACAATAACGACAGCCCAACTACTGCTGAGGAAAAGACTACTTCGCCCTTGGCCACCTTGCCGGTGACAGATAAATCAAGTCATCACGAAAATATTTCGGATCAAGAACACAGGGATTCCGGCGCAGTTCATTACCAAATCAAGCATTCGTTGAATTCCAGCGGTGACGAAGACTTGCTGCAACTTTCGAATCAACACAAGAGCAAGCAGCGCGAACACAGTGCCAGCGGCGGAAACCACCACACGCGCCACAAAAGTAAGCGTGAACATCGCGAGCGCAAGCGACATTCAACCACAGAGTCTCTAGTATCAGCACCTGGCAATAATCTAACCGATGAAGAGCACCCGCACAATCCAAGCCGACGAGCATCGGCTGCGGGCTCGCACAGCAGCGAATCGACCTTGCCGATGTTGAAATTAAAGCAGGAGAGTCGAAGAAGTGCCGAACGAAAGTCTTCACGCTGTTCAGACGAAGGTCTTGCCTTGGCACCGCCACAATCAGCACAACAACGCCCGGGTAATAACACCAAAGCGACCCCTTCACGCAGGGTGATAATGAGCTCGGGCGACTCGGACGATTCCGACGATCCAGCAAATAACGGAAAGAAGCACTCGATTTTCGACATACCCGATGAAGGCCCCTACATTTCGATGTATGACAAGGTTAAGGCGCGCTCCTGCAAAAATATGCAAAAGCATGAAGAGGAGAAGAAAATTAAAGCCAAATTCACACAACTTAAACAATCACGTGCCAAGCGCGAGGAGAAGAAGCGCTCAACGAGCTATGAAGGCGACTCGGATTCTGATTTCGAAGAACGCAATCAACGTAGCGGTGGCAGCAGTTCCTATAAATCCCGTAATCAGACAAATCTCACCTCTTCCTCCGACGAAGACGATGGCACAAATATGAGCGGTCGACGTCGTAGCTCGCAAGCCTCTTCACATCCCCAGCGCATGTTTTCAGATTCTGACTCGACCACAACAGCTGAGGCTGAAGCACGTCGCAGCAAACTACATCATAAGCTGATGCGGCTATGCGATGATGATGGTGAAGACAGTTCTGAAGACGAAATACAGGCGAATTCACGCAAGTCGCTGGCGTCGTCGCCAAGCAAACGCCTTTCGACCAAGCGTAATTCCCATTCAACACGCATCGCCTCCGATTCCGAATCGCAGTCGCAGCCTGTCGAAGATATGAAAATAAAGCGGGAGTTGACAGATGACGAAGATCGTGATAACAAATTCAAAATGCAGATCAAGGAGGAAGTCGAGCAATCAGAAGCCCAAACAGAAATTAGTGATGATGTCAAAGTAGAGAAGCCTTGTATAAAAACAGAAGAAGACTCGTGCCCAACACCAGTCGATATCAAGCAAGAATTTAAACACTTCGCCGATTACGAATTTACCCTTGAGCACCCGTCACCTAAATCTTCACTGAAGGTTCAGCAACATTGCTCGCCCGAATCTCGTAAGAAGCACAAGAAAAGCAAGAAGCGCCAGAAGAATGCGTTTGCAATGCCTAATGTCACGGCAACGACGCAGAACATAGTCGAAGCCAAAAATGTTTTGGTCACTCTTACGCCGGGCTCTTTTCAGCTAATGAACTTCATGAGTACGCCGGAGAGCAAGGTAAAGACGTCACTATCGCCACCATACGATCCATTCGACGAACTGAAACGCGAGTGTGCGTCTATACCAACAACACCTTCTGTGCATGCCAATAATGGCGCAAATGAGGTGCCCCTGGGCGAGAAGAAGCGTCACAAAGATCGCAAGGAAAAAAAGAGGGAGAAGATGCGTAATATGAGTGATGGTGGCGCCAGCATAGATTCTGACAAGATGTCCAAGGAAGAGCGGCATCGCTTGAAGAAGTCGAAAAAGACAAAGAGCCTCGATTCCACGCGAATGTTGAATACAACCACCGCCAATACTGAAAAAGCAACGCCCGCGGCGTCAACTGTGGCATCGGTGACGATTTTGCCGGCAGCATCGGCAGCGCTCCTCACGGTTTCTGCGCCAAATTCGGCAGTACAGACGACCAACTACCAGTCTGCAACAGCTAAACGCAGTGGTGAAAAGATGGAGGATATATTCGGGCCAATATCGGATGAAGAGTCTCAATTTACAGACACCGAGTCCAAAGAGATGACTTCGACGTTTTCGCTAGACACCAATTATGACGGCCTTTTAACTTCGTCCACCAGCATAACTGGGCCCATCGTTTCCGCAGCACTGAATCCCTATAAACAAGATCCTCTCACACCAAAATCACACACTGTTGAAGAGAATGAGGAGAACAAGCAAAAGGTGCTTGTCAGCGGGGAAGGTGTTGGCGGCAACATAGATCGTGAACGCCACCGAAAAGAAAAAAGGGAAAGGCGACGAAAAGAGCGCGAGAAGTCACGTGAACAACATGCCCTATCGGCGCTGCAACAACAGAAACATCAAATCGATGATGAGAACAGCGTTGACCTAGACGAGGCTGGGCGCGCTTTGGAGGCACAACTCATGGAAGACTCTGACAATAAAACCACTGAAGATGCCACTCCCTCTACCGCCACAACTTACCGTAGCGATATGACCGATGTGTTCCGCTTTTCTGATGGCGATGAGAATTCTCACGACTCTAATGCTCCGCACCGAGATAAAACAGACGCTGCCGAATTAAACACCTCAGCCAACGCACAATCACAGTCGGGTGCCATACCGCAACTGCACATCAAGTGCAAGGAAAAGAAGAAAAAGAAAAAGCGATCGAAGGAAGAGAAGCATCATCACCAACGCCGAGAGTCTGGTGCATCGATAGTTTCCTTGCAACCACAACAACAGTCTGCGGCCGCGCAGCACACCGCAATGTCACCTCCGCCTTCCGCGGGAAAGCTTTCGATTGATGTCATTTCGGCCAACGCCAAGCAACTGCAAAAAATGGAAAAGCAAATGTGCAATGATGAGATCGAAGAGAACTCCAATTCAACAGCACAGTCGCCTATCTGCAAACCGTCGCCAAGTTTACCTTGCTTGACAGACGACGATATTGATTTGAGTGGTAAACCAATACTGACCACATCCAAACCAACCACAGACATGCTATCTTTATCGCCAATGCGCGAAAAGAAACTGATAAGTCCAATACCAAAGACACCGACTACAAGCGCAACGCCATTTGCAAACGAAAAGTCTCATTCCATTTCCTATGGTACAACTACGTCTCCTGTGAGTTCGCTTACACCAGCAGCTGTTACCGTCGCGTCCACGCCAACAACAACCGTTAACGTGATGTCACCTTCCGCGACTGCGGAGGCAGCGACATCTATGGACTCAGCAGGATGTGCATCCTCTACTGCAGGCACACCAACGACGGCGAAAAAGAAGCCAGAAAATTTCATACCTGGTTTTGATGGCAAACTGGATGAGCAGATAAGTGAGTCGGCCGTAAAATCCATTTCGGTAGAGTTCAATGCATCTATACTAGACGCAAATGCAGATGAACCGAAGATTCCGATAGAATCGCCACCAGATCTTGTCGCTAAACACATGGATAAGACAGAAGACACAAAGTCTCGAGTCACCATTTCACAAGAAGAGACAGAAAGTGCTGTATCTGCACTATTGGGCGAAAGCTTCGGCAATTCGTCTAATATTGACTACTCTTTCCAAGATGATACACTCGAGGATGACTTGGCTACAGACTGTGCTAATGTCGAAGCGCCCGAGCCAGACGAAGAGGCCGCAATTGCTGCGAAGGCTATCGAGACGACAAACGAGCCCCTGCAGCCAGAAGAAGATGCCGAGGAAGTCAGCAAAGCAGTACAAAGTCTCAGCACCGAAGAGATGGATGCCAAAGTAGATACACCACAATCAGAGCGTGGTCTACAAATCGATACAGATACAGAGGAGAATGTTGATGAAGCCGACAGCAGTGGAGTCAGTCTGAAAATCGATGAATCTGCCACTTCTGGTGATGTATCCGACGAATTGGGAGACAAAGAAAGTAAGTTTTATAATCAATGCCTATCGTATACGTATTTATGTTATAACATACGTTTATTCAAATCCACAGAGCAAAAGGCAAGCGAAACACGCATTGAAGAAGAGCAGGTGGAAGAAAATAAAATAATCTCAGTCATTACAAAGCTTGATGGTAATTCTCAAAGCAATAACACCTCATCCCAGGCTTTGGATTTGCCGGTGAAAGTAACTAAATTGGAGCCACCAACGATAAGTAACTTGGAACAACCCACAGTACAGCCAGTGAAGTCGGTGCTGCCGTCTATGATCAGCCTGGATCCGATTTCAACAAAGAACTCGGACGCAGCTCACGACAGTCAGATGACGCCCACATCAAACCCTTTTGCCAATAACAAGCCAATTCCAATTTCAAGTTCAAGCGCAACAGCAAAGTCCACCGACACCACTACCACTGCGCAGTCGCCAAAGACTCTCAAGATCACCTCATTGCTTTCTCCAGCAGCAACCGCTCAGCCAGAGACAAGAACTTTCGTCGTGAGTGCGTTGTCGAGCGCCCTAACAGCGCCTCCTACCATTAGCATACCGGAGTCGTCAACACATTTCGCCATACCACAGTTGTTGATATCGCCTAGAAGTGGCTCCGCTGGTGATCATCAAGTTCTGCTCTCGCCTAAGGCCCAACAGAAGCAACAATCACCACAAATCCCTGGACACCCAATGACCGCTTATACACTCAATGTGCGCGCACCCTCGCCACATAGCCCAAACAAGCATTCGCCCTCGCCCAGAGGCAGCACCCCAACAAGACAACTGAGTCCTTCCAGCATGACAGTGGCATCAACCTCGCCAACACAAATGACGCAGCAACAACAACAACAGTTGCTGCTACATGTTGGGAGCCAACGGACGTCGCAATTGCCTTCACAACCACAGCAGCATAGCCAAATAAGCGCGCCAAACGCAAATTCGCCGTTGGTCACTGTACCCACAGCTCCTGGCATTGCGACTCAACAGCCTACAAGCTCAGTTGGCAGCGGTGGCAACGCCTATCATTCGCCACAGCAATTGCACAACATAGATAGCGCCCCTGCAGAAGCTGGCAATACGAAAAATGGCAGCTGTTCGCCAAGTACTGGCCCTTTGAAAATGCCAAATGCTCTCAGTCAATCGCCGCAACAGTCCGCTGCTAGAACAGTGTTAGACCATAGCACTGGTAAAGCGATTGGAATGCTGCCGCTAACTGTGCAGAAAATGCCACCAATGCCCGCGCTACCGACCATCATCAGTAAAGTTGTGAATGTGGCGCCACAACAGGCGAAGCAGTCCACAATGTCGCCACCGTTGTCCGCTGCTCAAATCTCCGCGAAAGGCGTTTATATGGCAAGCCATCAACAAGCAGCGGTTGCTCAACAACAGCATCAACTCCAAACGCAGAGCTTGCAAATGGGTTCGCACCAACAGCAGCGGCATTCCCCGCAGATAATTCAGATGCCTACAATGCAAAAGATGGCGCCATATCAGCACCAGCAACCGCAATATGTGCAGCAGCAGCATTTGTTGCAACAGCAACGACAGCAAATACAGCAGCAGCAGCAACAACAACGCCAACAGCATCATCAGCAAATGCAGCAACAAATTTTGCAACAGCAGCAACAACAACAACATCAACAACAGCAGCAGCTGCTGCAAATACAAAAATTGCAACACCAGCAGCAGCAACAACAACACAACAAGCAACTGGCAATGATATCAACACAGCACGCACAACAACAACAACAGCATCAGCAGCAGCAACAACAACAACAACAACATTTGGGTCAACAACAAAGACAACGCGTGTTGCCGACACTGCAAAACACACAAGAGTTACAGCCATTGATTCAACCCCAGCCACAACAGCCCCACCAACAGCAGCAGCAACAGCAAACACAACAACAACATCACCAGCAACAGCAACAACAAATGTCATCGAATCGTCCTGTTATAAGCCCCACAAATACGACAACGGCAACTGGACACCAAAATTTGGTGACATTACGGTCCCAACAGTCCCCTGTGGCTGGTAGTGGCTCACAGAACGTAATACAATGCTCTGCTCAAATGACACAGAAACAGGAGCAAATGGCCATCGGAATCCATTCGCCCACACCAGCATCTACGCAGCTGTTAAAACAGCAACAACAGACGTCGACGAGTCAAACCACAGCCGTTGGCATGCAGTTCATGCCTCAAATGCAATCTACGGCTAGCTTGAAGGAGTCACAAAAGCAGCAGCTAAAGACACAAACGGCTAGCAATCGACAGGTGTCCGATTTGAGTTCCTCGGATGCAACAAAGCAAATGACACTTGCAGTAAGTGCAACAACAACACAGCTAATTACCCCAGAAGCGCCCACTCCTACTGTTCCTGGCGTTGATAACAAACCGCCCACACCAAAGCCTGGCGAAACAGTAGAACTTAATAAACAGTCGCAAAAACCAGCGCCAACCATGGCTATTGGGATGGCAACTCAAAAGCATGCGGAAAGTGTTTCTGTGATCTGCAGCGCTGAAAGCAACTCAGCATCAGTGGAGAAAGAAGCTTTGATAACGATGGCTCAGCAAAAGAGAGATTCTTCAATGCCTGTGATCAACGCTGAAGAAGCTACAGTATCAAAGGGCGTAGTAAAGACACTGGATTCGGTTATAAAGAAAGCCGATACGCCAGTTCAGAAACACGACCAAAACTTGTCCAAAATTGGGGAACGACCCGAGACTGATAGCGACAAATCACCTACTAACATGCCTGCAACAATAAAAAAATTGTCGACGCATTCAATTGCGAAAGACGCTGCTACTTCGAAAGGTGAAGAAAAGGCATCAGTACCACCTGCAAATATTGCGGTTGCGGTTAAATTACCGTCGTCCTCCGCAGTAAATGAGAGTGCTGCCAACAAACAATCGGCACACAATGGACCAGATTCGACAAATGCAACAGCAAGCAGCACAGATCATGAAACCGAAGACGAAACCGAGACAAAGCAGGGAATGAACATGCTGGAGGGGTCTATTGCAACCACTCTCACCCCCGGAGGTCTTGGCTTCGGGCGGTCCTCTGCAAGTGCACGTGGTGCTACTGCAAAGCGCGGCCGTCAGCCGCGGGGCGGAAAGAAGCAAGCTGCCGGTATCGCGAATGCCCCACCATCACAACTGGTAGTACCTCCGCAGGAGGCCAGCGGCGTGCAAACCCGTTTACGAAAACCAGCAACGGCAACGCCGGCGATTCGTGGACGCAAAGGTCGCCCGCCGCGAAATCTTTTGGCTCAGCAGCAGCAACAGCAGCAAGCTTTACAACAACAACATCCGAACAAAATGCAAGTTGCTCCGGAAGCTGTAGACACGACGGGTGGCGAGAAGAAGTCGCGAAATCAGGCTGTCACCCTGAGGAGTGCAACAACTGCGACAGGAGGCTCAGATGTGTATGAGTTTCATGACGATTCTGGCGAAGAATCGAAGACTGCGCAAGGCGCTGCACCAAGTACGGGTTCTTCAAGTGGCAGCGATGTGCGACCACGTTTGATTTTAACCATTAAACCTGGTCAAGCAGCACCAAGCGTGAAAGCTAGTGAAAAGCCAAACGCTCCTATAGCAGAAGAAGCGTCTAACTCTACACCGCACACGTCGCCAATGCCCCAGCAACAAGCATTCTCTAACAACCCACAGCCTGCCGTTCAGCCCGCTCCAATTGAAGTCAACAAATGCGATATCCAAGCACCATCACCCGCAACCGCACCGTCAGCCACAACGCCACCAGGGCAGCTACCGGACATGCCAATCATGGATGCAGTTCAGGCAACTCCTGCAGCTGTTGTAGCACTCACGACTGCGGCAGCATCAACACCACAAAAATTGGATCAGGTGCTGCTGAACGTCGCGGAAATGATTACCACTGCCGCTGGCGCAAATACCAGAAAATCGCGGCGTCTGCAGGAAAAGGACCGTTGCACAATCGACGATATCATTGAAGATGTGGTCCGCAATAATGCACCAGCAGCAGCTGCAACAGGTATTAACACCAACGCAATGTTCCCGAAGGGTGCGCAAACACCACCCAGACGGTCGGGGCGCAATGCAAGCACCACCGTAAATCCGAAAAAGCCCGCTGGCGGGGAGACACCCACGCACACACCATCGTCTCCGGCGGTAGGACGGCCGCGGCGTTCGAAAGACCGCAAAGGAAGCGTCGAAGCCATCGGCATCTCTCTCGACCTCTCAAGCGATACGGATGAACAGCATAAGCAGGAACAACGCACATTAACAGTTCCCACAGCGGCACTCGAACAAGAACTATCGGCCGCCAAGGCAGCGAATGCTGCATGCAGCGTATCGAACACCGTTGCCGTTGCAGCAACAGCAACTACAAAAGCGGTTATGGGAACGGAAGAATTGGTGACGCAACAACCACACCAGTTATCCGCAGAGACTTCAGCTCAGCCCTCAACGTATACTGAACCACAAACGCAACCAATGCCGATGCCAACTCATCATGCCGTACCACAGCACCCGAAAAAGAAGGCGCTTGCTGCAGCCGAAATAGATTCGTTCGTTGGCAGCAGCAATAGTCCTAACAGTACTCATGATGAGAGCAAGAATCCACCTATAGCGTCATTGCCAAGCGCTGACGTACCAGCTCGTCAGCCCACTGCTCTTGCAACGCAAAAGAAGGTGGACATAGTGAATAAAGCACTAATCGACCCAGTCACTGGTATAATCAGCGGTAATAATCAACAGGGTAAGGAGGCCAACCCGGCAGCGGTAGTTGCCACAGCTGCAGCCACCCTGGCCACTATGCAAAAGACGCCTTTGGATGCGAAGAAGATGGTGCAGGCGGCCATAGCAGCGGCAACGGCAGAGAATGTGGCAAAATCGCAGGACATTCGCGGCTCGACTCCCTTCATAAGTAAAACTGCAACTAATATAACAAACTCTCAGGCACCACACATGGTTGTGCCAACGGCCTCAAATGCGGCTCCACCTTCTGCGGCTGCACCTTCTGCAGCCGTAAAACCAATACAGGGGGTGGAGCTTTCTTCGAAGCCACTGGGCACTCCCATTTCGTTGCTGAACAAATCAGCTGTTAGCGTCGTTGTTAAGACCACGACGACCCCCGTTATCATAAAACAACAAATTGTGCAGCCGCAAACGACAATAACGCCGGCGGTAACAGCTGGCAGCAAGCAATCCATTGTGGTGCAACAGAGTCCAGTGGTAATGCACGCGCAGCCATCAAATGTACGTCCGCCCACTCTGAAAGCGCACGTGCTTAACAGCCAGAAGACGCTACACCACCACCAGCAACAACAAACACAGCAACCGCATCATCTGGTGTCACAAGCCCAGCAGCTTGTGCATCAGCAACAGCAACAGGCGAAACATATTGTTGTTTCCAACACAAATAACGTTATTGCGTCCAATGTCATTACCGCACGCCACACACTGCAGCAGCATCCACCGCCACAACAGCTGTTGGTGAACATACCACCACCGAACGCTCAGCAGGTAGCACATATAAACTCACCTCACATGCAGGCACATGCGTCCCAGCATCAGCCGGCACAACAGACGCTCGTCATCAAGCAAGGACAGGCAATCGCTGGTCAGCAGTCAGTACAAGTGGTTAGCTCGAAGGCACCGGTTGGCGCGCAGGTTGGAGACATAGCAGCACCACCGCAGCACCTACAGGCAGGAAAAACGCCGCAGCATACTGGAGCATATGTGCCGTCAATGGCTCAACAGCAGCATCAGCAACAGCCACAGATAACAGTGCTAACGCCACAGCAGCAAAGTCAGCTGATTAAACAGCACCAGCAGCAGCATCAGCAGCAGCAACAACAGCAACAACAACAACAGCAACAACAACAACAGCAACAGCAACAGCAAACTGTGCTGCAACCGCCGGTCAGTGTCTCCATGGTGAGCCAACAGCAGCAGCAGAAGCAAAGTGTACACGCTCAACTGCCACATGGTGTGACGGCTGTCCATCACCAAGGTCACAATAAAATCCCACAGCAACAAGCATCGTCCCTAGTAATACAACCAGGTGGCATTATGGGTCTACAACACCCACAAATGCTACTGCAAGCCAAACCACCGACGCATCTGCAGGGGCAACAAGTCCACCACCAGCAGATGACGCCTTCGCCGCCCTTGCAAGCTGGCGGCTTGCCAATTGCTAGTGGCGCTAAACCCACAATCGCTGGCATGCATACGATACAATCACAAGGTGTACAATTATTGCCGGGCAGTGTGGCAAGTCCTCCACCGACGGCGCTTAAACAGCCCGCCGCACAGCATCCACACAGTAATAGTGGCGTATCAGGTATGTTGTATTGTCGCACAAGAATGAGCCTTGAAAGTGTTCTGCTTCGACTGCATGCTATATACTTTTTGTCTATTTTTTTAGGCAACATACGGACCAGCGTTCCAACTTTAAGTCCACAGGGTCAGTCGCGCGTTGCACCACTTCTGCTGCCCACTGGTATGCCAATGCCGCCATTTGAGCCAAATATGGTAAGTTTAAAAGCGAACGATTACATTATTTTTAATATTCACAGTTGTCCATATGAGGCGTTCTGACCCTTTAGTTAGCTCTTAGCTAACAGGATAATTATTGTGTTATTATCATGAGACATCCCCGGTTTCGGTAGGGTTTTGCTATTAACCGTTGTACCACTACAGTGGACGGCATGTACAATGAGTACGGTTTTCTGCACACGTACTTGTTTTGTGCCTGTTCCGTCAAATAAAGCGTTATAAAGTACAAAGTATTAGCAGATTTTACGTACTGGGATGTCTCAGGTTTTACCCGACCCCTTGCTGTTGTTTCGGCATTAGATCGCCGATAGATAAGTAAAATCTCTTAATCGTTGTTCGTCCCTAGAGCAACACTTTGCAGCAGAGTTGCTCCGCATCTTTTCCCTCCAGTCTGGCATTGAGTCAAAGTAGACCACCCGAACACCTCTTCGGTTAGGTGCAGTTCTTGCAACGGACCGAGTTCCCTAAAAACCAGCTCAGGGTTTAGAGAGTGGGTCACATCTTTTGGGGGTGCATGTTGCTGAAGCCAAGGCGCAACCACTGCGTCCACGGCTTTCCACAACATGCGCGGGTCCTGCTCATCGGAGCTCACCCCAGAAACAAAACTCTAACTCGGACTCCAGAACATGTCGCGCAAGATATAGGAGACAACCGATTTATGGCAATGAAGCCAATCAATCAACCGTAGGGCAATAAACTTGGCTAGGCAGATAAACGATTTGGTATTCTGCACAATGTACGACGACGCCCCTACCAGGATTATGGTTAGCTGTAGCAGATCGCTCAATATAACAANGTCGTTGTCGTCAAGTTCCACTAACGGCAACCCTAGGAAGCGTGCAGCTTCTGTGGGGTTTGTCCACAGGGACAAGGCCGTTAGGGTTGTCGGGTTTTCCGGGCATGCGAAGAGATGTTTCGAGTCATGTGGGGTCTCTCCGCATGCCGGACACTCATTCGGCACATCCTCATTCAATCTGCTTAGGTAGGAGTTTAACCTGCTGCAGTAGCCAGAGCGGAGTTGGGCTATTGTTGTTCGTGTCTCCCGAGGCAGATGAAGCTCCGTCACGTCTTATGTCCGGGGCGGTATGCCTAGAACGGCATTCACAGGTCTAGAGTCTACATATCTCGAGACTGACTCCCTGTGAATGCCGTTCTGGACTTCGTCCATCAGTTCATATAGATGCCTCCTGATGTGCCTAGGCGAGGGCTCCTCTGCAAGCAGCTGTCTGTTTGGGTGGCCACTTCTGTGGCTCCCGATCAGGAACTGCTTGCAGAGCATTATGTTGTGCTCCTTTATGGGGAGCATTTGTGCCTCGTCGTGGAGATGATGTTCAGGCGACATCAGGAGGCATCCTGTCTCTGTCCTGAGTGCGGTGTTCTGTACAGTCTGTAGCTTCGTCCACTGCGTCCTACTAGTCCCCGGCAACCACACTGGCGCTGCTAGTTTCAAAACCGGCCGGCCTATTGCCTTGTATGTTGCCAGCAACGTTTCTTTGTCTTTGCCCCAAGTACTGCCGGCTAGCGACTTGAGGACCTTGTTGCGGCTCTGTACTTTATTGACAATAGCGGTTGAGTGCGCAGAGAAGGAGAGCAGGCTGTCGAATGTTACTCCGAGTATTTTGGGGTTATTCACCGTCGGAATTGGTGTGTCATCGACGTGAATCCCCAGCGGTAGCCTGACCTCCTTCGTCCAGGTTGTGAACAGGGTCGCGGAGGATTTCGTAGGGGAGAGGGCTAGACACTTTGCAGTGAAGAAGCGAGAAAGTTCGGAGAGATAGCCGTTTACTTTCGAACACAGGTCATCAATTCCATTCCCAGTCGCCATGATCGAGCAATCGTCGGCATAAGAGACAATCGAGACTCCCTCTGGTGGTTGAGGGAGCTTTGAAATGTAAAAGTTAAACAGTAGCGGGGAAAGGACACCACCCTGAGGAACCCCCTGTTTTATTTTTCGCTGCTTACTCGTTTTGTCTCTAAACATTACCGACGAATGTCGACCACTTAGATAATTTGCCGACCACCGTTTGAGCCTCTGTGGGAGAGAGGAGGCCTCTATATCTTCTAGTAGCGTGGAATGGCAGACGGTGTCAAACGCCTTTGACAAGTCCAACGCTACTAGAATCGTTCTCTCACAGGGACGGTTACGGTTAAGGCCACGAGTTATCTGAGTGTTTATGGCGTTAAGTGCTGTTGTTGTACTGTGCACTTTACGGAAACCATGCTGATGCTTCGCTGGGGTCAGGTGGTTTGTGAAGTACGGGAGTAGCAAGGCCTCGAGTGTCTTCGCTACCGGGGAAAGGAGTGTAATCGGACGATACGAATCTCCTTTGTTGGCAGGTTTCCCCGGTTTGAGCAGTGGGACCACTCTCCCCACCTTCCAGATGTCTGGGATGATGAGAGTGGCCATTGACAAATTGAGGACCTCCGTTAGGTACGCTACCCCCGCAGGACCCAAATTTTTCAGCATCAGCATGCATATTCCGTCGGGACCCATGGCTTTGGAGGCTTTCGCCTTCCCGATGGCCACCTGAACTTCACCGCAAGTGAAAGCAAGGGGGGCACAAGTTGTTGGCAGTTTGTGCAGCCTTCTGGTCACTCGACGCTTGGCTTTGTCCACCGGAGGATGCAGTATGAACTGCCGGCTAAAATAGCTCGCGCATCGCTCCGGGTCCGACGAAGCATGGTCGCCGAAGGAAATTTCGACTCTGTCGTCGTGCTTCGTCGGATTAGACAATGACCTCACGGTTGACCAAAGCTTGCTCACACCAGAGGTGAAATTACAAGTCTTCAGGTGCTCCTCCCACTTCTTCCGCTTATGTACGTTTACAAGTTGCCGAATCTCCGCGTTGAGATCCCTGATACGGGGATCTCCGGGATCGGCCTGACGAAGGCTATCACGCTCATCGGCTAGAACAGCCGCTTCGGCAGGGAAGTTTGGACGTGGGTCCGATATACATCCTGCCGGTATGAAGCGAGCTGCAGCAGCAGTGACAGCCCTGCGGAACTTACGTTCACCGAGATGGACGTCGGTTGGTGTGGGGAGCGCTGTGAAGGTGTTTTCAGTAAACTCCGCGTAACCTTTCCAGTCAGCTTTAGAAAAGTTGACATAGGTCCGGTGTTTGGCGGAGGCAAAGTCGGTTGGTTTATCAATCGAGATGACTATGGGTAGATGGTCTGATGCTAGAGTCAGCATAGGTCGCCACGTTATGCTGTTTATCAGACCAGCGCTGACTATTGTGATGTCTGGCGAGCTACTGCAGTTACCCATAATCCTGGTGGGTGCGTCGTCGTTCATTGTGCAGAATGTCGAATCGTCTATCTGCTCAGCCAAGTCTGTTCCCCTACGATCGTTTGACAGGCTTGAGTGCCAAAGATCGTGGTGCGCATTAAAGTCACCTACTACCATACGGTTTTCACCTCTGAGGAGCGCACCTATATCAGGGTGATATCCTGCCGGGCAGCAGGTGACAGGGGGTATGTATATGTTAAATATTTCGAGCTCGACATCGCCTGACCGGATAGCGATGCCCTGACATTCTAGGGTGGTATCCCTGCGGTCGATGTCTGCTTCGATAAGACGATACTGCACGGTGTGGTGCGTGATGAACGCTAAGCCACCACCATTATCTCGCTCGCGATCTCGACGGTGCACGTTGTACCCGGCGCAATTCAACAAAGTTGAATTGCTGTGCAACTTCGTCTCTTGGACCGCAGCTATTAATATACCATGCCGACACATGAAGACGGTTATCTCCTCAATCTTGCTCTGTAGCCCGTTACAGTTGAATTGAAGGAGCTTCATGTGGTTCGGGAGACGTGTCGTGATGTGGGGTGTAAGTGAGGTGTATGTTCTTGCCGCCGTTGGCTGTGTGTGCTGCTGAGGTGATTGCCGCCCTGTGGTGGTGGTGGGGGGCGTCGCAATTGAAGTCTGCGACCGAGCAGCGCAACACGGGCCCTCGAAGTTCCCCGTCCAATCTCGCGTGGTGCGCAGACCTGAACATGCCCTAAAGTGGCACCAGCCAAGGCAGGTGTTGCACTTGACTGATGTCACATTACGGAATATTCTGGTCTGACATACCGTGCAGATTGTAGGGGGAACCAGGAGTTGTTGGCGGCGGCCTGTGGGTGGTGGTGCGGTTGTGTGTGTTATGTGGTCTGTAGTGGCTGTGGTACGGTCTGTGGTGTTATTATGTTGTTGTGTTGTGGTGACTGTGTGAGGCTGCTGTGTGAGTGTGTGAGGCTGCTCGGGCGGACTGTGGTTAGCCGTGGAGGCTGCTCTGTTTGAGCAACAGGGGGCCACGTACGACGTGGTCCACTGTCTATGTGTCCGTAGTCCCGAGCAGACTCTGAGGTGACTCCACCCCTCGCAGGCATTACACTTGACTGAGGTGGAGTTGTGGTGTAATCGTCTCCGGCATACACAGCAGGTGTATGTTTCTGGCCCTGGATTTGACTCGATGCCAGCCCTGAGCAGGAGAATACGTAGTGAATGTAGCCCTACGGACGGACAACTTCTGAGATACTTCGCCGACCTAAACGGGGTTAGATCGCCGAAACAACAGTCCTTGGTCGGGTGAAACCCGAGTCATTCCGGTACGTAGAACCGGCTGTCGTGGGAATGCTCAATATAACAATAGTTAGCGCTGGTCTGATTAAACCGGGTAACATGGCATGTTGTCGTTAGCATCGGATCACCTGCCCATAATCGTCCCGTCACCTGCCCACTTTGCTTCCGGGAATAACTGACCTCCTTGCTGGCTAATGGTTATTCCTCAAGGTTGTCACTGCATCTGCAGCCCGCTTACATTCCGCTGGGCGCATTGCCGAAACGCGCTTTAATTTCCCAATCAGAGCAGCTGTTCTAGCCGATCCCGGAACCAGGGATGTTAATGTGGAGGTTCGGCTCTGGTAAATCTGAGTAAGCAAAAAAGTGGAAGGATATTCCCACGACAGTCGGGTCTACGTAACCGGAACGACCCAGATTTATATCTGTCCAAGGACTGTCACTCCAGCAACACTCCCCAAAACTCTATGGGGAACTTGTATGCTGCTACAACAACAACAACAAGGATATTCGCAAGCCAACAGCCGCGGGTGGAGGATTAGCCTATTAGTCAAGTGTTAATATATTTTGTCAATTTGTGTGGGTAATTTATGTAGATATAATTAATCAAATCAATACACTACAAAGTGTAATCGCTATTGTGAAGAGTTTCATTAGTAAGTCAGCTATAAAGTGTGATTTTCTCATAGATCTTTTTCAATATTAATATAAGCAAAATTTTGGTTGATTGGACGTCTTGGTGCGAACAAAATGGAGGGCGCTTCAGCAGTTTTATAGCCCAATTAATTTTAGCCTGATAATATGCAAGTTTCAAGTGGCTAAAAGTTACCGTTGATTTTTAAAAATTTTCTTCGCCAAAGGTGTTGGGGATTTCTTCCATATACAAATAAATTGAGTTTATTCATTATATGGAAGCCAAACAAATTCTAAAAAAATTAACGGTAATTCGTAGCCACTTGAAATTTGCACATTATCAGACTAAAATTGAAGGGGCGAAAAAACTGTGTACTCGAAAAAATTCTAAAACTTCCGAGAAAAAAAGTTTGAAATTTAGGAGAAAATTTGTTGCGCTTTTTTGAAATTTTCTACCAATTGTTAAACTTGGGTTTATATGGGGCTTGTCTGAGAATGAACTATATTTTAATTGAAAATTCTTAAAAACAAATAGATAATTAATAGTGGCAAACAGTTTCACTTTAAAATGACGTGCTATAGATATGACAGATACTGTACATCACCTTCCGATAGGACTGATAGGTTCTGAAAAATAAATTAATCATTCAAGTTTTTTTTTATTTTTTTAAGAAAAAATCTAACTTTAACAGAAGAAAAATTAAAAAAATAGCAGGTTCTGTGCTAAATTTTTGCATTTGTGCTAAAGCCTGTTCTGTTACAAAAAAAAAAAACAAGTTACTAATGAAGGAAAGCGAGGTATAAATAAAGAAGTAATGAGTGGTTAAATGAAAATGCGCAAAGATTTTATTTTAATGAAATATGAGCATAAAAGCCAAAAATCTTTGCGCATTTTCATTTGAGCATGTGTAATGCAGCAGCAAATTTTTAATTTCATTAGAAGCGCCCTGTTCTATTGCAAATGGTTGCATAATGTCCAACCTAGTTTTATCGATTATACTTGCGAAGAAGAGGAGGAATGTCAATTGTAAAAGTAAACAGTAATTGATGCTAGTAAGGAAAAGAGGTTTGTAAAGGTATTTTTAATAAAGTATTCAGTTAAAATATATTTAAAGAGCATAATATGCTGTAGCTGAAAAAAGTGACCACGGTGGCACAGAGAAGAAGTTTAATTTTTCCTCGAGTTGTGTGAATAACAAGCACAACCAATTTGACAGCTTATCAGCTTTGATTGAGATTACATTTATATGTAAACGTACTTTTATGCTTTGCCGTTCGCATATGTTTGCACATCAAATTTCATGAGTACCTAGCATGATAAAAAAATAGGAAGGTAGAACCGCTGAGAGGAATTTTTCAATTTAATTTTAAAATTTTACACACAAACTCACACACATATTCTCATTTTCAATCTCAAGCAACAACAACTTTGAACAATTCCTTTTTTACTCTCAATTCTATACGATTTTAAAATGTTGGCAAACTTCAAAAAAAAAAAATCATGGCCGACGCATTGAGAGAAGGGTTTTACCTTACTATGCTTTTATCATGGTACCTAGTACTCACGCCTTTTTTTGTGATAGAACAGGCTTTAGCACAAATGCAAAAATTTGGCAGAGAACCTGTTATTTTTTTAATTTTTCTTCTGTTAAAGTTAGATTTTCTTCATTTTTCTTAAAAAAAAAAAAAAAAAAAAAAACTGGAATGATTAATTAATTTGTCCGAAACGCAAAGTGATGTATATATATNTTTTTCTTAAAAAAAAAAAAAAAAAAAAAACTGGAATGATTAATTAATTTGTCCGAAACGCAAAGTGATGTATATATATAGTTTATGGAGAATTTTGTTAGCTTAGATTTGACGTATCTCATTTTAAGATTAGTTGCGTTCGATAACAAAATTAGCCAACACCAGCCAACAATC